TTTTCAGCTGATTTCAGATACCACTGAAAAGCTGCTTCTTCATCTTTTGTAATTCCAATTCCTTTTTGATAACAATACCCGACATAATATTGTCCCCTACAGCATCCGTTTTTAACTGATTTCAAGTACCACTGGAAAGCCTTTTCTTTATCTTTTGTGACTCCAATTCCATATTTATAACAGCGTCCAATATTATGTTGACCATGATTGTCTTCATTTTCAGCTGATTTCAAGTACCACCGAAAGGCTTCTTCTTCATCTTTTGTAACTCCAGTTCCTTTTTTATAAAGATATCCAACATTAGATTGTCCTCTAGGACTTTCGTTTTCCGCCGATTTCAAGAGCCACTGAAAAGATTTTTCATCATCTTTTGTGACTCCAACTCCATAATAATAACAGTATCCAAGATTGCATTGACCATATTTGTCTCCATTTTCAGCTGATTTCAGGTACCACTGAAAAGCTGCTTCTTCATCTTTTTTAATGCCAATTCCTTCTCTATAACAACACCCGACATGATATTGACCCCTACAGCATTTGTTTTCGGCCGATTTCAAGTACCATTGAAAGGCCTTTACTTCATCTTTAGTTACTCCGACTCCATGATGATAACAGTATCCAAAATTATTTTGACCACATTTGTTTCCATTTTCAGCTGATTTCGAGTACCACCAAAAAGCTTTATCTTTATTCTTCTTGACTCCAATTCCATGCTCATAACAACATCCAAGACTGTTTTGGCCAACGCTGTTTCCGTTTTCGGCTGATTTCAAGTACCACTGAAAAGCTTTTTCTTCATCTTTTGAGACACCAATTCCATATTGATAACAATACCCAATAACATATTGACTATTGCTATTATTATTATCTGCCAAATTTTCATGTGATTTAAAAGCATCATAAATGTTTTCTTTAAATTCTGGGTATTCTATTTCAAGACCAATTTTTCTTTTATCTTGCTTTCCAAATGCATGGTTTAAATCGATTTCTATTTTTTTTTTAAAAAATAATATATTATGAAAACTTGCTGCAATAAACGTGAGTTAAAAATACAAGTGGTCACATTACCTGAGTCTCCATTGATCAAATCAATGTTTCGTTTATCCGATATAAAATCCCGCATTGTTTTACTTATAAAATTATCAAATTTTTCTTCCGATAAATACACTTGTTCGTTTATAATCGAATTATTTAATTTAACAATCTCAGTCAAATCTACATTTTTAAGGTCTTGTACGACTTTATCAATGATTGGACGTTTGTTTATATCTTGACCCCAGCACTCTATTAAAATAATTAAAAATAATTAATACAGTAAAGGATTTCATAATATCGATGTGAACATATCGTACCTTGATAGATTTTTACGTAACTTGTGGGTGTTCCCATAATTGGAGCTTCTCGGTTACCATTTGTAATAAAAGTTACCAGATCTAATTCGTCCTGAAAATGATTTGATCTGTAGGGACATTGACCACTTGAAATTTGCCAAAATAACATCCCAATACTATATATATCGAAAGCTTTGGTGCGACTGTATTTTTCCATTTCTTTAAGAAAGACTGGATCTGAATATTCCAAGGAGCCAGTTAATTTTAATAAAGAAATGGATGGTAAAGTGGTAATCCTATATATGCCAAAATCGCTAATTTTAATTGAGCCATTATGAACAAGTACATTTCTAGGATTCTATAAATATTCATGAACTTATATCAGATAATAATAAATGTAGTTTTTAGTATTATAATGAAAAATCAATGTGCAGTACCAGGTTTCCGTGAATAATATTATTCGAATGTAAATGCATTATTGCTTCCGCAATTTGTTGTGCGAAACGCAGTTTGTTTGTCCATTCTAATTTTGTGAAATTCAATTCCAGGTAAATATCAAGTGCTCCATCATTTGCAAACTCCATTACGATTTCATACGCATTCTGATTTTCATCTAGAATCATATAGTTATATTAATCATGCTGTATTCTATTAATGATGTTATATTTATTCTATTGACTATTACCTTTTTGTGTTATTCCATAAAAATCAACAATATTTTCATGCGATTTAATGTTTAAGTAATGTTTAAGCTAAAAATTGGGATACGGATAAATAAATAATTATTTACAGGCAAATACTGTATGTTGACTATTCATTTTTATCCTTATTAGCGTAAGAAAGAAAATCGTTTACCTCATTAACTAACGACTCTAATGTGAAGCTTGGACAAAGTGTAACCGATTTCAGAACAACAGTCTTATTTTCAGTTGTTAAGTTAGCACTATGGACCGTGCTGTATGCCTCATTCCTAATTTCTTGAAAGTCACCAAAGCTACTGTAATCGTATCTAACAATCTCCTTGTTTTTAATGGCATTACTGAGCCATTCTTGATACTCGTTATCGGAAAGACCTTCCATGGGAAACAAGAATACTGTATAAAGTGAGTTGATGCGTATGCTTTCGGAGTATATATGCGTATACTCCCATTCATGAATTCTTGTGTATCAAAGTACAAGAATACTTACTGCGGTATGACGGTGTTGATTAACAGAATCATAATTATTATAATATCATCATAGATCCCACATTAAGCAAGTCACCGAACTATGTATGATATACTATTGGGTGAAATGGCGAGTTTGTAACAACGAAAAAGATGATTTTTTACTTGGTATAAATAGGCGATTTGGTTGAAGATTTAATAATACAGTGATTTTTTATTTTTCTAGCCGAGATTGAGCACACTTAAATACTGTGCAATGTTTCAAAGGTTTCAAAAACCCACTAAATTAAGATAAAAAGTGGTACAAAGAGGATGAAATACTATATTTTGTTTGTCTCTTGCAAACTTTATATTTATTGTTTATTTATAATTAATAAAATAGTAAAACACTTTAATAACGAAAATTTACAAATTTACTTTTTAGAATATAAAATCAAAATTTATTTGATTATACCATTATTTGGTTTAAAATATTTTTTCTGAAAAAATCAAAATACCATAAGGATATTTGTGAAATTTAAATTGGGGAATTATAAAAGGATCATATTTTATCAAATAGACAAAAAAAATATTCGAAATAAATAATCTAATAAAATTATTTTAGTATATGAAATAATCATTAGTTACTATTGTGTACTTTTATATTACATTAAGGAAACTCTTGAATTTTTCTAAAAAAAATCATAAAATAAAATGTATTTGATAATCTATTTGTCTAGAATCTTTTTATTTTTATGTAAAATTATAAGAAGAATAATAAAAATAAAAAATAAAATAAAATAATTTTGAAACATTTATAAATTTAATTAAATAATAATTAATTATATACAGTATGGTGCAAAAGTCTTTGAACTAATATTTTTTATTATAATTCAATAAATATTTATTTAATTTAAATAAAACTTCAATAAAAT